AATTCAACTAACACTAATGAAACACTAGAGGAGACAGTTTAACATGAGATACAGAATAAACTTTAAATCCTTAGAGATATTTGGGAAGGTATTGTGTCCACCAAAAAGAGAAAAAATTGCAATGAAAAAGAAACTAAGTTTATTTTGGAATTAAAAATATTATCTTTTAAATTAAGGAAATTCAGTAGATGGGGTGAAGTTCAAATTAACTAGCTTAGAAGGAAGAATTCAGGGATTCTCTGAGGATATAGTAGAAAGAAAATATAAGAAAAGTTAAAACAATGTAGAGGCTAGATTTAGGAGTCTTTATGTCCTAATGGAAATCCTAATAAGAGTGAATAGAGAGAATGGAGCTAGGTATGGTGGCTCACGTCTGTAATCCCAGTACTTTGGGAGGCTGAAGCCAGAGGATTGCTTGAGCCCAGGCGTTCAAGACCAGCCTGGAAAACATAGCAAGATCCTGTCTCTACAAAAAATAAAAAAAAATTAATGCTAGGTGTGGTGGCACGTGCCTATAGTCCTAGCTACTCAGGAGGTTGAGGCGGAAGGATCACGTGAGCCCAGGAGGTGGAAGCTGCAGTGAGCCAAAATTGGGCCACTGTCCAGCCTGGGTGACAGAATGAGACCCTGATTCAAAAAAAAAAAAAATATATATATATATATATATATGTATATATATGCATATATGAAAATGGAAGACAGTATAGAAGCACAAGAAATTTTCCTGAGTTCAAGAAGTGCTCAAGTCTTTTGATTGAAAGAACCCACTGAGTTTGCATGTGAGAGAAGGAGAGCTTGTTAAGAGTGGTAGCAGTGAGAATAAACAAGAAGTGATTAAGAGTTACTGACTTTGAGATGAATTTAAGGGCTGATGTGGCAAGAGAAGTGAAATGACTCTGGATTTGAAAATGAGATGTCTGGAGAAATGATGGCTAACATTGAACAACATGGAGGAAAATGGGAAAGGATTGTAGCTTAAGAGGGAAGATTTTAATTAAGTTTTAAATGTAAATTGTCACCAGTTCCAATTTCCCCCAAGAAAAATTATCATAAACAGATTTGCTTTTGTTTGCCTTTCTTGCAGCTTGAGCAATCCCATCTACCATGTATAATAAAATTTGGTTCTCTGAGCATGATTTAGGATGAGGAATTAGAGTTGAGTCATAGAATTAAAAGGCATTGAGTTTTTGGTAGACCAAAAGCAGAAAAGTGATTTTTATATGTGTATTAGCTACAGGAAGCAAGTGAATATACACAATTCCTGTTAACTTGTCCGAGAGAGCTCATGGAAGTGTCTAGGCATCAAGAACTAGAAAACAATTAAATTATATTTGTGATCCCTAATTTAAGATAGGTAAAATGCCATTGCTATACCTGTTAACTTCTATTGCTTTATTTTAAGGAATGGAAGGAAGCTTATGTGAATTTTCTGGGTTTTCCCCAGTCTATTATTTCCCTTAAAACTGCCTTTCTGCACTGTGAACTATTTCAGAAACGTCTTCAGGACTGACTCTGGCAACTTGGGAAGGGAATATTTTACTGAGTTTGAGGTGTGTTCTTGTTTACCCAAATTCTAGATTCTTGATTTCTCTGAACCATTCAACTGATCTGTGGGCTTGGTTTCTACTGCAAAGTCATGGACTCTTTCAGTTACATTATCAGTGCACCTTCTTCTATCCTTACTTTATCATAGCTGAGAACTCTTCTGAGTAGGTTCCATTCTAAGAACATGGTTTGATCTTGATTGTCAGAGGGAATTAGCATGTCTAACTCCAGAGGGATTGCAAAGTTGAGGTATAGTCATCTCTGCTTGGAAGTACAAAATGCTTGAGTTTTTATAATGATAAAACAGAAAGGAAAATGACCAATCAAAACATTTGTTTGTTGAACAATTCTGCTTACTTAAGTCAAGATAAAGTGAGTGGGCACTCCTATATTGGCCAGAATGGCTGTTAGGAAATGCATATGATATAAAAGGATGAGAAGAATAGCAAATAAATCTGTTAGGTAGCTTGGGGTTAATAACATAGCACGCGTGAATACTGGGGGACTGCTGAAGTGTTCTGAGCAGGGGAGTGCCATGATCAAAGCATTGCTTCAGGAGGATTAATCTGCCCGCAGATTACAGGAATGCCTCAGTGCTTGGCACCAGCCCTTACTTGTAGTAGGGTTTCTAGTCATTTGTTTTGGGAGTGGCAGAAAGAAGTCCAGTCCACAGGCTATTTTCATCTGCCAGGGATCAGGACATATGAGAAGCTGAGAGGGCATGGTGACTGGGAATAGAAGGAAAGGGATGGATTCCTAGAAGCTGAGAAGTAATTGACAAGATCTGGCAACCTGACTGAATGTAAGCAGAGAAGAAAGGTCATAGTTGTCATGTCAGGAGAAAGCTGGGTTTTATCCAGATAGATGACAGTATTCAACAGACAGTTTGGTGGAAGTGTTAGGTCGATTTTGGGAATCATTGTTGTGTAAATAGTAGCTGAGATCATGGGAGCAAAGAGGAAGCAGAAGAGGACTGAGTGCACAACCTGGGCAAAGCTGCAGGGAGAGGGTGAGGGGAGGCAGAGGAGTCGGCAGTTAGGAAGGTGGGAAGAGAACTAGGGTGTCATTTAAAGAAACGGAGGAAGGAGAGAAATTCAGAATTAAGGAAATTGGTGTCTGTCAAACTCTAATAAAAAAGCCAAGGAGGATAAATGCCAAGAAAAAAATTGTTCTGTAGGTTGAGAATTCTTAGAGCTGATGGGCTTGGGTTGGGAAATTTGAGGGGTGGGGGGCTTAAATAACTTAATGATTTCCCTTTGTCTTCTTAACTGACCTAATTAATGTAGTGCTGTTTCATTTTGCGTACAAATTTAATTTACATTTATCATTTTTTAAAAGGGAAAAAGAATTGTATAGCCAGAGGTGGTTTTGGCAGGGAGAGAGCAGTGATAACTTATTCAGAGCATGTACCCTTTCCACTTTCATGGTTGAAAATTTTTTTATTAATCTAGTCATCATTTGCTTTAATTTGAAGCAGTTTGAGTAAATACCATGAAACATGCTATTCATTGAAAATGAATAGACTATGTCTCAGAGTTGACATGTTTAAAATCCATTTGTTTATTTTATAAATGTTAATTGAGTTTGTCATGGATATTTCTCTAAGGACTATATATATGTAATTTAGTATCTAAAAATAGACTTACAAATAACCATAATGATATGACAAAGCAGTACAAGAGAAGAAGGATAAAGTGTTATGGAAATGCAGAGGAGGGAGAAATTATTTCCAGCTTTCTTTTTTTGAGGGGGAGAAAGATATGGAGGAAAGATTAAAGTAGAGATAATAGGGAAAAGCTGTTCCAGGTAGAAGAAACCTTGAACCAGATACAGAGTTGGGGTCTTAACGGGGGTGTTGGGCATTGTAATTGTGTTTGACTAAAATGTGTTTGTGACATGCGCATTAGGGGAGATAATGATGGAAAGGTAGTTTGGGCCTGGAACTTAGAAGATGGCAGATGTTTGAACTTGATTTGGAGGCAGCAGGGACACATTAAACATTTTGAACAGAGGAATGATGTCACTTATCTGATGCTTTTGTTGTTATTTGAGATTTTAATAAGCATATAGTACTTATCAGCAAAAAAATGATAAAGGTAAATTATTGGTTAAAGTTCTTTTTGTTGTAAGCTTTTGACTTAAGTAGAAAAAGGAGGCCAGGCCCGGTGACTCAGTCTGTAATCCCAGCACTTTGGGAGGCCGAGGTGAGTGGATTGCCTGAGCCCATGGGTTCGAGACCCGCCCAGGCAACTTGGCAAGACCTCGTCTCTACAATAAATCAAAAATTAGCCGGGCGTGGTAGTGCGCGCCTGTAGTTCCAGCTACTTGGAAGACTGAGGTGGAAGGATCGCCGGAGCCCAGCAGGTCAAGGCTGTGGTGGCCGGGAGCGTGCCACTGCACTCCAGTCTGGGTGACAGAGTGAGACACCAGCTCAAAAAAAAAAAAAAAAGAAAGAGGAGAATTAAGGTCATTGGGATGTCTTGCAAAAACCCAAGTTAGGAATATACCTGGATCTCAAAAAGATTTAGAACCAGGAGCTAAAAAGTTGCTGGTAAGTCTCCCTTCCCTGCTTTCTCTACTCTGCTTCTCAGGGCATTCTCATTTATTATTTGTAAGCCAAAGTTGGAAAATGACTTTTTGAGCTTCTGTGTTTTAGCCTCCAGGAGAGATACTCGAGGGATAGAGAGGGAGAAGGAGATTGATTCTTGCTCATGGTTTCACATTCTGAGTGATAGGACTGATTTTATTGTGCTCAAAGATGGACTCATTTTTGCCACTTTGTAGCTAATACCAATCAACTATGGCCAGGAGTGTATAAATACACTGTGGGAATTTATTTCTAGATGAGAGAGTTAGTTAAGAGAAGTTAGGCAGAATCGCAAAGGGTGTTTACTACAATTATGTACTTTGAATTTTTGACATTGCTTAATTCATAGATTGAAAGATAGTAGACTCCATTAAATTTAGAGAAGTAATATGAAAATTGTGCAGAAATTTCCCCCAGTAAACTATAGAATGTGTTTAAATTTAACTTTAACAAACTGGTTGCCCTCGTGGGAATGTGAGGTGTTACAGGACTGAGGAAACAAGAGTGCTGGGTCCTAGAAATATTCTATGTCTTGGTATGGGTAGTGATTATAAAGGCTTATGTATGTGTCAGAATTCATCAAGATATATGAACTTGATGGATGTAAGCAATACATTTATTGCTTCAATTTAAAATGAAGTCTAGGCAAAGTTGATTTGTTTGATTTATCTGCCTTGCATTGTCATATAGATACCCATATATCATTGTAAATCAATTAAGTTTCCTTTTATTGTAGATAGGTACATTTTTGATAGATGTTGATCTGTCACATAATTTGTGTGTCTTAGAAATGAAAGTATCATGATGACATTTTAAAATATATAATATAAAACATTGATGGCTTGGTTTACTTTTTCCCCTGATTTAGGAGCTGTGACTGATGAGAATTAAAGGCCATGGATGAAGATGGACTTGAATTACAACAAGAGCCAAACTCATTTTTTGATGCAGCAGGTATAACTACTTGGATTGTTCCACTTTGCATCTACCAGATTTGGAGTTGGTTATCATGTGAATGAATTGCTAGACTCACATTGATGTTCACACTTAGGTTATCTTGTTATCCTGTCAAAATCTACAAATGTTACAGTGAGCATTTTATTATTCCCCTCCTCAAAAATTTGGCTTCCTCACAACTAGCTCTCATATTTTAGTCAGTAAAAGCAGTGATATCAAAACCTTAGTGTTATCATTAGTTATAATGTTGCCTGGCTATTCCGCTAAGTCTTGTTGGTTCTCCCTTTGAAAATATACCTAGTCGGGCGTGATGACTCACACCTCTAATCCCAGCACTTTAGGAGGTGGGGGCAAGAGGATTGCCTGAGTCCAGGGGTTCGAGATAAACCTGGAAAACTTGGCGAGACCTCATCTCTACAATAAATCAAAAAATTAGCCAGGTGTGGTAGTGTAAGAATGAGATGACAGAGCCTGTTCAGCTACTTGGAAGGCTGAGGTGGAAGAATCACCTGAGTCCAGCAGGTTGAGGCTGTGGTGGCTGCGAGCATGCCACTGCACTGCATCCTGGGCAACAGAGTGAGACTTCAACTCCAAAAAGAAAAAAGAAAATATACCTAGTTAACTTTGTTTGAACCTTTGTTTAAAAAAAAACTCCTTATTTACACCTGTTCCTCTTCATTCTGCTACTTCTTGCCACATAGACAGGACCTGTCATCTCATTCTTACTAGTCTGCAATAACTTTTGCGTTGTTTTCCTTACCTTTGGTCTCTTACCTAGCCCAGTGATCAGGGTAGTCATTGCAAAATAAGATGTAGATCCTATCATTTCTCTGTTCTCCATTACCCAGCAGATAAAGAAGGTCCTCTACATTCTGACCCTATCCTATTTTTACAGCCCACTTTCACAGTTCCCAAAAGGAGCCTTCTGCTTTAGGAAGATGGAGTCTTGCCTCATTTTCCAAAGTATACAAGGAAAATTGTGTTCATGAAAAGTCTAAAAATAGGAAAAAAAGTGTTCACGATTTTGGATTACCCATCTTTTTAGTTATATAACATTATGAAGTGATAACACTTGGTTTTATGATGTAAAATGGTTTTATATCACACTAACTACTCTTATAAATAAAATGCTAACAGGTTTTCCATTGGATTGTAAATGTTCAGATTGCAGTATATTAAATAGCAATTAACTTTATCAGGAAACTAAATAGTAGTGATTTTTAATTTTTAAATTTTATTCGATTGCTAAATCCGGGGGTGTGTGTGTGTTTTTCTTAACAACTTGAAATAGTCTTTTAGCTCAAGTTTGATAATTTCAGTTTGATAATGATAAATGTAAAGTTTAGAATTCTTCATTGTAACATGAACTATGATTAATGTGTTTGAAAGAGAGACTAAGCTCTTTGGAGAAAAATGTACAGTATTTATTCACTTAATCTTGCCACAAGCAAGCCTGGGTCATGGGTTAAGTGGTAGATTGGAGGACTATTGCATTTTAATCCTGATTGTTAACACTTATGGTATTTGTTTATCTTTGAGCAAGTCACTTAATCTGCCAGGGCCTCCGTTTTCATATGTCATGATAATAATGAAACCTCTCATTACAGTTTTTCAGAACACTTCCCATACATTCCCATTTGATCATCACCACAGTCCTGTGAGGTATGCATGGCAGATACTACTGTCCTCATTCTACTGATGAGGAAACTGAAACTCAGAGGTTAAATGACTTGCCCAAGGTCACAAAACTAATAAGTGTCCAGCCCTGCTTTGCTCTCTGATTTAGATTTCATAACCAGTGCTCATGCCACTAAATGTTTTAATCTTCACATCTGCAAAATGGAGATCATCTATTGCTTGATGATAATATTCAGAGTATTGAAAACAAAAAAGTATAAAGCATTTTGTGGAAGTTCTATAGAAAGTAAAGTGAACATATTATTTGTAGATATGATTAAAATAGATATTAATTGACTTTAAAGACCTCCTGTGATTTTAAATATTATTTGGCCTTTGATGATTTTTGTTTATTGACAAAATCATGTGTTTCTCTGAGGGCCTGACCAGTGATTGAGTTAGGCTCCTTCTTGGACTCAGCCTGGTCTGAGTCACAGCCAGAAGCACTAATCTACTAAATAACTTTTTTGGTAAGACTTTTATAAAACTTTCTTTGCTTTTCTTTATGACAGGAATCATGGTATTAGATTGTTTTATTTTATCTTACACTTTTGATAAGAATATATACTTTTTACTTCCATTTATGACATTCATTCAGAATAATATTTGAGCACTATATACTGTGCAGACTGTGTGATCTTGGTTAAGTCATTTAATCTCACTGGGCTTCAATTGGTCAATCTCTACCTTCATTCCTTAACTGCAAAATGGACTAGAGTAGGGATTCCTATATTCTGAGGAATTGCCTTGGGGGTTGGAGTCTGGGGGGATGGGAGGAGGCTAGATTGGAGGTGGAGTACCCTGGTGAAGTTGGGGCAGCCCCCACTCCAACTACCCTTACCTTCCAACCCCCCAGCACAGTTGCACTTTTATTCATCTTATTTATCCCCAGAGCCTCCTCAACCAATTGTCTTTCCTCCTTAACTGTGGCCTTTTGTCCCTTTGAAAATGTATCCTCTGATCCTTTTACATCTGGATTCAGGGGATGATTTCTGAATTTCCATAGTCATAGATGGAGGATATTGGTGGTATGTTGCATCAGCACAAAGGGGGAAGAGTGTGAAGAAAGAAAGGGGAAAAAATGGAAGGGAAGTAAAAGAAATACACGAAAGAGATGGAAAGAAGAAAAAACATGAGTTGAAGAGAGGGAGACGGAGCGAGAAGGAAAAGCAAGAAGGAAAAACACATGCAATGAAGGAAAATGGTGTATTTGCCACCTGAAGTTGCATTATTTAACCTTTATAATCCTCTCTTAAGTACCTGTGTATATGGGTTTAATTGTAGTGTGCCTAGAATTTTACTTTCATAGATATATTTCTTCTGTGACTGCCTCAATTGCTTTGTTCCCCAAACATTTATATTTTTAATCTATTGATTGATTTGGGATGAACACAGAAGTTCTTATTTAAAATGTCTTTCTAATATTCAAAAATAGATTCCCTCTTTATTTCTGTAATCTGTCTTAATGTTTGAGAAAACTGAGGAGCGAACTGGTCTGTTTTCCTGGTAGAAATTAAATGACATTAATTAATTGAGGTAGTCATGCATACCTACCTGAAATTTTGTCATTTTAATTTTTTTTAAAGGAGCTGATGCTACACACATGGATGGTGATCAAATTGTTGTGGAAGTACAAGAAACTGTTTTTGTTTCAGATGTTGTGGATTCAGACATAACTGTGCATAACTTTGTTCCTGATGACCCAGACTCAGTTGTAATCCAAGATGTTATTGAGGACGTTGTTATAGAAGATGTTCAATGCCCAGATATCATGGAAGAAGCAGATGTTTCTGAAACAGTCATCATTCCTGAGCAAGTGCTGGACTCAGATGTAACCGAAGAAGTTTCCTTAGCACATTGCACAGTCCCAGATGATGTTTTAGCTTCTGACATTACTTCAGCCTCAATGTCTATGCCAGAGCATGTCTTGACAAGTGAATCTATACATGTGTCTGATATTGGACATGTTGAACATGTGGTTCACGACAGTGTAGTGGAAGCAGAAATCGTCACTGATCCTCTGACTACTGACGTAGTTTCAGAAGAAGTATTGGTAGCAGACTGTGCTTCTGAAGCAGTCATAGATGCCAATGGGATCCCTGTGGACCAGCAAGATGATGACAAAGGCAACTGTGAGGACTACCTTATGATTTCCTGTAAGTTTTGGGGTACAGTGGTTGTCAGATGTATTTTTGAAGGCTGCCTTTTTAAACTTACATCAGGAGTGAAATTTTCTTGACTTCAACATCTGTAAAGTTAAGTTCATAGATCTACCTTCATTGTTTTAGTTTGGAGTCTGTAAGATAACTTGAAATTAAGAAAAGTGAAATGCATAATAAAGAGGTGTTTCTATATAAGGACACAATAGGAATATGAGATTTCTTCCATTTAGAAAGACAAAGGCTGAAAAGAATAGAACTGAATTTTGTGAAATTATAAAGGATGTGATCAGACTGTTACCAGTCTTTATTAGACTAAAAAACCCTCTTGAAAAAAGGAGTTCAACTTGGAAAAAAAAAGTATAACCAAGGTGCCTATATTCTTGAATATGGATATACACAGTACTGCTTGTGTAATACTTACATATTTATTCTGCTTATATGCTATGTAAATTACTATATAATAACACAAAAAGGTTGGGCTCGGTGGCTCAGCCTGTAATCCCAGCGCTTTGGGAGGCCAAGGTGAGTGGATTGCCTGAGCCCGCAGGTTCGAGACCTGCCTAGGCAACTTGGTGAGACCTCATCTCTACAATAAATCAAAAAATTAGCTGGGCATGGTAGCACGCGCTTGTAGTTCCAGCTACTTGGAAGGCTGAGGGGAAAGGATCGCTGGAGCCCAGCAGGTCGAGGCTGCGATGTGACAGAGTGAGACTCCAACTCAAAAAAAAAAAAAAACACAAAAAAGAACTGTGGCTTAGTATTAAAACATTCTAAAACATTTCAAGTATGATGGATTCATATTAGGTTATTGAAGAAAAGTAAAGTGTTTTGGAACATACCTCTAAGCGTTTATCTTAGCATCTGGAAGGACAGCTGTATCTTCTTACAACATATTTCTTGGTACCTCTTTCAGAGACAAAATTCTAGTTTGGATAGACCACAGTTCTGACCCAGTGTGGGAATTCTTATGCCTTAAGAAACTAAACTTGAAATAATTAAAGATTCACAGATGATTTATAAATTTACAAGGATATTTGCTTTGTTTAAATACCTGTTTTAATACAGGGATTTACTATAACATACATTGGAGTCACCATAATTTTAGGAAATACCTTCAAAAAGTTCTTGATATTTTGAAAATCAAAGAATTCTTTGTGGAAAGAGGTAGAAAACGCCTTCCTTCAATGCATGTTTATCAGATCCTTACTATGTGTCAGACATTGTAGGTAGTGCGGATATGGATATGTGCTAAATAAACTCATACATAAAACCATTGTCCCTGGAGAGCTTATAGTCTACTGTGAGAGAGAAATGCAGAGGTGTGACTAAATTGCTGTGGAGACAGGATGGAATAGCTGACCTTTGAACTCAAGGATGACTTCTAGTTTTACAGGATGAAGAAGGGCATGAGCAGCAGGAAGATTCTTTCCAGGCAAATGGTATAGTATGTTAAAAAAAAAAGTTCTGGCCTGGCCTTTGCTGGGAATGATGGGAACTTCAGGTTATACTTGTATATCTTTGTATACTTTCTGTTTCGTTACGTAGACTAAATTTCTAGAAATAGAATTGCTAGATCAGAGGATATACACATTTACAAATTTGGTTATATTAGCTTGGTATTTTGCCTTAATATAATTTTCCTCACCAAGGTTATGAGAATGTCCACTTTCCTACACTCTAACCAACACAGAATATTATTTTCCTTTTTTGTTTTTACCAATCTGATAAGGAAAAATATGGTATCCTGTTTCAATTTTGAGTTTATTTTAGGAAGATACTCCTGGTAGCAGTATGAAATAAGCATAGGTGAGGGAGAGATTAGTGGTGGAGAGCAGTTGAAATGGCTCATGTATGAGATAAAGAAGATCCTAAGTACCTTAATAATAATAAAGGGGACAGAGAAGGGGGGCTGGATTCAAGAGAGATTGGGAAGTAAAATGGATGAGATTTGGTGACAGATAAAACAGGGCTGGGGATTTAAGTAAGAAAGATAAAGGATGACCCTACGGTTTCTACCTTGGGAGACTGGGAGCCTGGTCTTGCCATTACTTGAGAGTAGGATAGGCTTGGTGGGCAATAAAATGATATAGGACCTGTTAAAAGTTTGAGTTATTTGCTGGGGACAATCTGGTAGATGTTTTTTCAAGGCAGTTGAAAACATGAATTTGGTGCTTTTGAGAGAGTTTGTGACTAGAGGAAGAAATTTAAGGCAACAGAATGTAGGAAGTATCCTATATGGGAACAGATGATAGTCCCCAGAGAGTGCTTGTAGGGTAAGTGTCAAGTGTGGCCCCTTTAGGTATTTAAGAAGTAGGCAGAGGAGAAGAGCCCATGCAAACTGGGAGCTTTCAGATCGAGGAGGAGGAGAAAAAGTGTTTCAGTACTGTCAAGGATAAAGAGAATTTCTAGAAGTGTCAGCCGCTGAGGAGAAAGCAGGTTTTTTTGTTTGGCAATTAGGAGGTCATTGGTATCTAGTTAAAGTAGTTTCAGTAAGGCATGGGTGAGTGGAAAGGAGATGGAAGAGATGAGCTGTAGTGGATTGAAAGTTAGGAGAAGCAGGTTGGGGGAGCGGTTTGTATAAATTGCCGTTTTGGTCAGTGAAGGGGCAGAAGAGGTAAGAGTACAGCTTATGATAGTTGGCTAGATGGTGAAAGTGTGTTGAATGTATTTATAGGTTTTTAGGTACAGAAAACAATTGGACAGAGAACCTGAAGATAGAGAAAGGAAGGGGTAACAGATGGAGCAGGTTCTAGAGAAGGAGAAGGGACTGGGCTTCAGGGCCACAGTGGGTGGCTGTTAGGTGAGCTCTGGAAAAGAAGAGCAAGTCTCCTCTCTGAGACGGGAAGGCAGTTAAGGATGAGACCCTTATCCAGGAACAGAAGGTAAAAGGAGTGCTTGAGTGTTGGGAGATATTTTCTCTGTGAAGTGGGTTTATCTACTAATACAGAAGACTGCAGAGGTTGGGTGGAAAGCTGAAGGATAGTGGGCAAAGGTTGAAAAGTCTTTTGGAGATGAGCTGGCACAGGAAGCCAAGAATTTATGAGCTAGATTGCTGAACTGCATTGAGGGGCCTGCTGAAGGTGGGAGTCTAAGTATAATCTACTACTTAGTATGAACATTCTATTTTTTGTCTTTTTTTAACAGTCCAGGAGGAAAGAAACAGAATGAAGATGCTATTTTAAAATTCAGGTTGAGCACCTCTGTTCTAGAAATTTGAAATCTGAAATGCTCCAAAAGCTGACACTTTTTGAGTGCTGACATGACACCACAAGTAGAGAATTCCACACGTGACACCTTTGCTTTCTGACGATTTAGTGTACACTTTGTGTTTCATGCCCAAAATTATTAAAAGTAATTTAATAATTGTGTAAAATTATCTTCAAGCTGTATATGAAGCACAGATGAATTTCATGTTTAGACTTGAGTCCCCTCCCCAAGATCTTTCTGTGTATATGCAAATAGTTCAAAATTTGAAATCTGAAACACTTCTGGTCCTAAGCATTTTGGATAAGGGCTACTCAACCTGTACTGCTGCCAGATTTTCTATTGTAATACCAGGCAACCCAGGGCCACGACTAGAGAAAGTAGAGAGTTGAGTTCATCCCGATTTATAAGGGGAAGAGGGTCTGGTGAAATACTGAAGAGAAGAAAGCACTCTCACTTTTCTTTGTTTTCTTTCTATACGTTCTGCCCTTTCTGTCTTCTTCAACTTGTTTACTAAGAAGTAAAATGTATGACATTGGTTTGACCTTTAATAAATTAGCACACCATCTCTTGCTATTATTACTTTTAGGAAGTTCAACCCTCTAGAGAAGTCATTGAAAAACAACAAATAAGTTGTTTTAGTAATGATTGACACAGTGTACCAGGTCCTTGTATTGTATTACAGAATCCAGACTTGTAAAATTTTCATTAAAAATCTATTTATAGTCATTTTTCTTTTTAGATCCTGGCTTTTTTGCTAATTTATATAGATTTTAATGTTCCTGAAAAAAGTAAATACGAATGGACATAGACTGCTATTGTTAGTGTATCTTAGTATATTTTAACATATATATACATATATAAACAGTTTTAATAATATACTGATAATTTATTTCCTTTTCAAATAAAATGTCACATCCAAGCTCACAAATACAATGAATGATACATTTAAACACATAAACATATGCACATGCGCATATTATTCCTACTTTACTATAATAAACATATAATAAATAGATTGTTTATAAATTGGGTTTAGAGATGGTGACTTTTGGTAATATCTTTTGTCTTCTCTGTTAAACAGGCACTTTTGCACTCTATTCCCCTCTACACCATTCTTTTTCCCTTCAAAGTAGCGATCCTATTTAAAAATTTAATTTACTATTGTCCTTGGAATCAAACCAATTAAACACTTTGGAATTAATTAGCATTCCTCTTGATTATGCCTCCCAGCCTAGATGCTTTAATACTGCATTTTAACTTAAAACCTGTATTGATTTCAGAAGTTTAGGATTAACAAAGGTTTTGTGGTAAGTTTATAGAGGAGCTATAGCCTGATTTTATCCATGATGGAGAAGGCTGAGATGCCATTAGTAGTCAACTTTAATGCTTTTCATAACATGATGAGAGATGGTAGTATCTCTGAATTCCTGTCATATTTATTCAGCATTCTTTAGGTCTGAGATGTGAATACATGTCCAAATAGTCTCTTTAAAAAATTCACTTAAGTTGTTGACTCTAAGAGCCTAATAAACAGCTTTTATAATATCTTTAGTATCCATATCGACAGATTTCTTCCCTCTACAGGTCTTAAAATGATGATAAAGTAGTCCTCATTCTTTAAAATATCATGGTAGTGTATATAAACACAAATTATCTGTCACAGTATAGCTGCCTTTGAGATCAGGATGACTTCTATATCTAGTCTTTGCAGTCTAGATGTTATGACTGCTTCTAATTTGGTTGTGTTTCTTGAGGACTGTATTTTAGCTTCTTATGTATCATCTTCC